TATCTTTTTCTTTGACAAAATACAAAGTTTTTTGGAAGGCGGTTCTGCCATGTCAGTAATCGGGTTTTTAAGAAGTCAACGAATACTTTAGAACAACAATTACTATGAAAGCAAATCATGAAACTTCAATATTAAAATCTAAGTGCTTACCTGCAAACTGAAACTTTCTGAAAATAACTAATTACATTTAATAAAAACTGTTAAAATAAAAAATAGAAAAACCAAAGAGATCCAAGGCAATGTGATCGTTTCTTCAAAAACAATTAAATTCCTATTTTATATATTATATAGCTACAACGCTTAAGAAAAAAAAAACTAAAATGCTAAATACATGAAAAGAACACGAAAACGAATTAATTTTTTATGCTATCAATTTCTATTTCTATATAATTTTTTATGGTATCAATTTCTATTTCTATATCGCTTCAAAAATTATCGTCTTCGCTTAAGAAAAAAAAATAGAGCGTGGAAAGAAGAAAAAAAACTTATTATAACAATTATGAACAGCGACAAATATATCAAATCGAAGCGTTCTATTATATGATCTAAAATATGAATCTTGTAATAAAAATTAAAACATATGATCTTGAAATCATTAATATGATAATGATTACCTTTCATATGGTAACGGCTTACTGGAAATTCTGTTTTTAAAAATTATAGTTCTTATTATCCTATTTTTAGTAAGAAAGCAAAACTAAAAAGTAAATTTAACTGAATAAATGGTTCTAATGTCATGCTCTAAGATATTCATTTTATTTAATAACCGTCGTTGAACAGCCGACTCAATCACTGAGTGTACGACTACTAATGTTCTACGTCGTAGCCTTGTAATTTTGAACCCAGTTCAGAAGACAAGGGAACTTTCCTGGATCAAGTATTCGGATAAATTCGCCCTTGAAGTTTCGGACTTTTTTGGTGGAACTAACCCGCCTCTGCGTTACATGGAGAGGAAAACAATTAGGACCTCCCACGGTAAGCCTGACAGCAAGGAGACTCTAACGCAGGATCCGTCTACCACTGAGGATATTCCACTTCAGCACTGTAGTCGGTGCATGCCGGATGCGGAATTCGTATCTACCAGCTATCACTGGGATTCGAACCCTGTTTACCTCATTGAAAGGCAAACGCTCTATATGATAAAATGACCAAATTTTACCACATTTGCCATAAATAATAAAATAATCTTTTATCGGTTATTTTACGATACTCATTACCAAAGCACTTCGGTAAAATGCACCGTGCCTTTTAGTGTTCCCATAAAATCAAAATACGGTAAATTTTACCATATTTTGGTTGCTTTGATAATCCTATTTTTTTGGTGTAGTAAGTTACGCTGTATAAACGATGAAATCAAAACAAAAAATCGATTGGAGGAATGGGAATCCTTTAAATCTCTCTGACAAGTATCAAAATGTAAATAATCTTATTACTGTTAATAAATTATGGTGCATAAAAAGTGATATCATCATCATCTTCTTAACAATTATTTTACCTCTTGCAGATGGTCTGATTGTTCGCTAAATCTTTCACTGATTTCTTCCAGCCTGGGATGATCTCCTGTCATAGATGCATGTTTCAACCTGTTTAATAGGGTTGATTTGTCTACATATTTCAGAAGATCTTCAGCTTGCTCCAATGCTGTGTTTTGTAGCTGAAAAAAGAATTTGGGTTAAATAACATGTAAACATATTAAGTTACATTAAATAGTTAATAATGCATTATATATGGGAAGGTAAACAATGACATCGGGATTTTCTGCAAGGTGGGGCTAAATAATGCTCAAAACTATAAAAAATTCTGGATTAAATTACAATTTAAAGTACCTGCAATTTATATGCATCATCCGTAAAATCCATTTTAGCGTAAAATATTATACATTTAATACGCATTTATTTAATGAGAGGGATTCAGTAATTTTATGGTAATCATTGTTGTAAAATAAAAGGTATATCAGAATTTTTTTGTTCCGTAACATATTCCATTAAAAATAGATTTTAAGGTAAAAAGTAACAGCAACCTGATTGCCTATATTTTTTACCAGAATTTTTTCTCAGTGTACGCAAAATAGAAAAACAATTTTTTTCTGATAATATTATTTTTTTTCTGATAGAATTTTTTTCTCTGATAGAATTTAGCAAGAATTTTTTTTCTGTTAATATTATTCTCCAAATCTAAAATGTAATTTTAACGATTGGAGAGACAATGCTTAGATACGCCAAACAACTGCAGCAGGGAATAATTTAAATTAGGAAATTCAACACAAAAGTATATTTTTTAATAAATTTTACATAATTTAAAAAAGGAAATTTAATATTTTAGAAACAATAACTTGAAAGGATTCAAAATTCAATCATAATTTTGTTTCAATGCAGGAAACTTTTTAAGTTCTTATTAAAAAAAGCACTTCATATTTAATTTCATGTTTAAAAATTAATTTAGCTAATTGGATTCAATTTTTTGACAATACCATTGAAATTTTCGTGGCTTAAAAAGATGCATTTTCCCTCCTTTTTAATCTAAAAGCTATGAAAAATTTTTAAATTAACTAATGAAAAATAACAAAAAAATTAAAGTTTTTTTTTTGTATTAAATTCTTTGATGGTAAACCAATTTCATAAATGGTTGTAAAAATGTTTTGATTCATTCTTGGAACTAGCATTAGGGCTGTTGCAAACATTTCAGAAAATGTAAAAATAAAAAGAACAAACATTACGAGATTTAAACTTTAGTCTGATGTCTTGATGTTAAATGGTGTTAAACTTTGACTGGTGGCTGATTTTCGACTCATGTCCTGCGGTTATTCATTTACCTTAAAGATATCTAAATATTATGGGTATACAGATCTGTGTCTGAATTTGTATGATTTGAATTGTTGTCCGTCCTCACTAATTAATTGACCTATGTAAGGTTAGCCCAAATTAAATAATGAGGTCTTTATTTTATTTTATAACCGTCGTTGAACAGCCGACCCAATTTTCGGTTTATGACTACTAATGCTCTACTCTGTAGCCTTGTAATTTTGAACCAATCCAGAAGACAAGGAAACTTGGATCAATACCCCCAGAGGTGTGATTTACAATGGGAACATGGAGGACTTTGTGACTCGACAAATTTAAATCGCATAAGTCACAATTTACTACACGAGGAGTCTTTGGCAGGTGGAGATCGAACCCACGGCTTCTTGCGCATGTGTCCAGAGCCCTACCAACTAGGCTATTCCGGCACTTAAAATAATGAAGATTGTGACTTAATAAGTAAAATTCCTATAATTAACACATACTCAAATGAATACTGCATGGTAAAAAGCACCGGCACTTGAGAGCAGGTACATTTTGCTGTAAAATTCGATGTACAGTAATTTTTATATATGCAGTAATATTATATAAATCACTGATCTTTGTAACTGAATAAATAATGCTGTTAAAAGCATGATATACAATTTTACTGTAAAAATGAATTTTTCGGCAAAATGGATATTACAGATGATGCACTCGGAAACTTAGTACTTTTTACCATAATTTGATCTGGAATTTTTTACGGGGCAGTTACTTGCCTTGGTTACGTAGCATACATCAACGCGATAGTCTGACGCTTCACAAATAGAGTACCTGTGAAGGATGTCAAATAAAGTGCACAAATAAAGCAACTATTAAAAAAACTAATAAAGTGCGCAAATAAAGGAAAAAAACAGACATACTATAGTTTTGATTCTATTATCAAGAACCTTCATCAATGTAGAAGCAACCAATTTTGTGTTTTGATACTAAATAAGGATCTTGTTACAAGAACTAAAACTTTATAGTATCTGCATTTGTTTCTTTTGGTTTTATGTGTGCATTATTCACGTTATTTTGATATGTCCACACGTTGTTCAAAATATAACTACTCTTCATTCGGGCATAGTTTCTTGATTTTCAGAACATCACTATTAATAAACTTGGTCACGTGGCATACATCAACGCGATAGTTCGACGGTTCGCAAATAGAACATTAGTGATGTTTTAGTTGAAACTCGAAACCGGTCTGAAGTTAGCGCAAGGTTTGTTTATGCCGTATTCTATAGTTTCCAAATCACAGTTTAGTGAAAAAGGAAAACAAAATGTATAAATGCGCACAAATAAAGCAACAATAAAGACACAAACAAAGTGTACAAATAAAAGGAAAAAATAGATGCTATAAGTTTGGTTCTATAAACAAGAACCTTCCTCAGTGTAGAAGCAACCAATTTTTTGCTTTGATACTGAGCAAGGTTCTTCTTAATGGAACTAAAACTTTATAGTATCTGATTTTTTAGGCATCAAGTGCGATTTATTCAAGTTGTTTTGATTTGCCTACACGTTGCTCGATATATAACTACTCTTCATTCAGAAATAGTGTCCTGATTTTCAGTAGACAACGATTAGTAAACTTCTGGGTTTTCAGAAAACTATAGTAAAATAAATAGTTTTTTGAAAGTGCGGAATTAGCAATGAATAAATTTGTATAAATTCATAGAACTTTTAAAAATTATAATGTTCTTGAATTTTAAGCTGAGATGAGTATGTCATAATTAAAGTAAATAAATGATTTTCGCTGCTTTAAAGTTAGCAACAGAGAAAAACAGATAAGAAATAGTAAACATATATGATCATTTAAAGGTTACTTTAAAAAAATAATAAGTTTACGAAAAAAAAGATCTGATGTTCCCTCATTGCTAAAAATTACGTTGCTATTCAATTTTTTAGTGAAGATAAAAATAGAAAAAAGTATTTCAGATTCTATAAGTAAAGGAAATTTGAAAAAAAAAATTGCTAATTTCTTTCATCTTTCTTCTATTAAAAAACTAGGTTTTATACATGATCGAAGAAAATGCTGATTTTATTGAACTATTTGCTCTAAAAAAATATATAAATTCGGTTCAAAATAATACATGAAATAAATCTCTGATTTTGTTGAGTCTTTTTTCTTTTTAAAATACCTAACAGATTCGATAAAATTAAATGAAAGAAAATACTGGTTTTCCTTGGGTTTTTTCTAGAAAAAAATTACAGATTCGTTAAGTAATGTGAATGAAAAAAAGGAAGATGCCGATTTTTTGAAATTTTAATTCTAGAACAAAAATGCAGATATGGTAAATAAATTAAATGAAATAAAACTAAAGCATCTTCCAGTCTTTCTTCGAATAAGAAATGTTGCAGATTTGTTAAATAAATTTAAAAAAAGTGAACTTTCTTAAACCTAACTTGCGTAAGAAAAAGTGTTACAGATAAATAAGTGAGTTAAATGATATAAAATTCGATTTTTTTCGAGCCTTTCTTCCAGTAAAAAAATGTTAAAGGTTTGATTAGTAAATTAAATTATATAAAATTTGGGTTTTTTCGAGCCTTTCTTCTAGAAAGGGATGCTACAGATTTGATAAGCAAATTAAATAAAAAATTATTTTCTCTTAGAAAAAAAATATGGTCCTAACTTCCTAAATATGGCAAAATTACCGTGGTCCTGCTCTATGTGAACAACAAAAAGCTCAGTAATTTTGCTGAAGCGTTTGGGCAATAGTTTTCTTTAAATTAACAGTAAAATATGGTTTTATGATGCATGATAAAATTTGATCAATGTAGAAAAATTTTCTATCATAACACCTTAAAGCATGGCATAAAAATCCTTTATTTGGTTAAATATATGCTTTTCGGCTCTGTATTTTTTATGAAAGGTATAATAATAAGTACAAGAGCTTCAAAAACCAAAATTCCTGGTAAATTGTCTCCATATGAACGAAATAATGACCAAATTAATGGTTAAAAACTATACATTTTGACTTTATCACCAGAACTAATATTTCTTTTGACCAAAAATGTAAGTATCATACATTATGGTAAATATTTTTCTCTGTGAGGATATTCTAAGGCCGTATTTGTAGTCAAAAGAAAAAATAAAATGCTATAGATTAGGTAAATGAATTAATTATAGATATTTTTTAATTTTCTGGAAAATACCTTACAATCAATCTAAATAAAACATCAGCTTATATCCGGAGTAACTTTAATGCATTCTAGTATATGTATTTGTACTTTATCTGAGCTATTTAAATATATAAGGTAACAAGAATTTGTGTTGGTAAGTTTATATAGTATTTTTGAATAATATTATCTTATTTTAAGTCGCTATAATAGCAGAATCGGCGAGATTTCAACCACCAAGAGTGTTGATCTTCCTTTTGTTTTCAAAAAGTTTCTCTTCTAATGTTTATTTAAAAGCCCATTATTCGCATAAACTTAGATCGTGCAAAGCGTAATAATACAGGCGAGATTATTGCATAAACTCTAAGCATTTCACTTCGTTTCCTTTTCAAAATCTTTAAATCTCTTATTTCAGATAAAAACAAATAACTTTTCAAAGAGATGAGACTACAAAGTAGCTCATATTTCCCCTTCTCTTTTATTCCAAAAGCAATGTAAACATTTTCATTTTCTCTTAGCAACCCAAAGACTGAGCCGAAAAGAAAAGAATTTGCTCGCCAAGCAATTTTTATGAAAACTAGATACCAGAAAGTCGTATCGGAATTTTAAAGAGAACAACATTAGAAAAGTTTCGAGTAAAAATAATAAAAAGATTTTAGCTGGTTAGAATGAAAGTTATAATACATTCAGCAAGCAGATGCAATTTTTAAAAGAA